ATAGATTTTTCAAATATAATTTAATTATGAAAAGTAATCATTTTGAATTTATTATTTTCTAACTTTAAGAACAAATTATATCCTTTATAATCGTAAAGTTTCTATTATTTAATGCTTTTATTTATTGAACAGATAATATAATGCACATAATTATATTTTTTAAAAATATTCAAAGATGCATTACATTTCTAAAGGTTTTTCATCAGATTTTATAAAACCAATAAATTTATTTGTAGCAAGATATGCTTATAAATGAAGCTGCTGTTTTTTTAATAAGAATTATCTTATTTATAGTATTTTATAAGTGATGAAGTGTCAAATTTAATAACAGAAGAAGTGATTTTTTTTCCATTAGCCAAACTATACTGATTGTAATATTTTTATAAATTTTTAACAAAACAATCATTTTAGAATATTTTTAAAAAGTGATTGAAAATTTGTTTAAACTTTTTTTGAAAATTGTAAATTAAAATTTTTCTTTTATTTCTTAAAAAAATATAACAATATTTTTATTTGCTATAATGCTTGTTTTTAAAACTTAAATTTACTGACATTTTCATATCATTTTAAAGAAAGAAAGACTAATAAATAAATTACTAACAATATTTGTTACATATTTTTTTCTTTAAATTATTTTTAAAATAAGTACAATTTGTTTTCTAAATTTATTTATTAATAATAATAACTAATTTGAGTATTTTTTAAAATGCTTCCTATGGGCACTTCATCGACATATTACTAATATTTTTCAAACCTTTTTATTAAACTATTTTAGTCAATATATCATTGAAAAACTTCAAAACTTAATTGAAAAAATTGATCATGTAATTTCAATTTATTTTATATAATGATGTCTTAGTATTTTAATCTTAAATTTATGATCCAATTGAACCCTTGAAATTAACCAAAGAGGTTAGTTATAGTTCCCTGCATTATACTTATTTATATAAATTTAACCTAAAAACAAAATCTTGAAAATTAAATCAGGACCACCCAATCTGATTTCAATTTCACCAGGACTGGTTCTTGCATGACCCTAGTTTTTTTTACTCTGACTTATCAATTTTAAATTTATATAAAATACAGGGCTTAGTCACCTTTAAATTTTTAGGGATGAATTATGGATCAGCACATCTAGTGTTGCGTAATCGGCTAAAAACTATGCCTAAGCCTAAAATCGCTAAGCCTAAAAATCGGCTAAAACTAAAAATCGGCTAAACCTAATTAGGTTAAGCCTAATCGGCTAAGCCTATATAAATCTGCTAAAATTAAATTAGTCAAAATTCTGCATCGATGCTTAGTATTAATTATTATTTATTTATTTTAGTAAAATAATTTATTTTATTTATATTTAATGTAAATATTTTATTATTATCAACAAATAAACATGATATGATTTAATATTTTTTATTTATATTATTATATTTTGAAATGAAAATAAATTTATTTATTTGATGTTATTTTAATAAAAAAAATAATATGCTGCTATATTGTAAAATTGTAATATTTTTTTAATATAATTTATTAGTATTTTCACAATCTTCTTTATAAATACATCTTTTATTGAGGAATTATATTGTAAATTTTATTAGATAAATAAACAATCTTTTAGGTGAAATCTTTTATAATTTTTTTATCATTTTTTTAAAATGATCTATTTTTTATTAAATGAGGTGGATTTTATGAAACTTTTTTGATGATTTTATATGATCTTTTTAAGGATAATATTTTAATGTGACATTTGTCATAATCGTTATTTTATAAGTTTTTTGAATTTTTTGAAGAAAATAGGTTAAAATAAGTATTAATAACATGTGTAAATATAAATTTAGTGAAGATGTACCAAAGAAAAGTGACAATTGTCATAATCGTTATTTTTAAAGTTTTTTGAATTTTTTTGACGACAATATGTTAAAATAAGTATTAATAACATGTTTAAATAAAAATTTAGTGAAGATGTACCAAAGAAAAGTGACAATTGTCATAATCGTTATTTTTAAAGTTTTTTGACGACAATATGTTAAAATAAGTATTAATAACATGTTTAAATAAAAATTTAGTGAAGATGTACCATAGAAAATTGACAATTGTCATAATCGTTATTTTTAAAGTTTTTTGAATTTTTTTGAAGAAAATATGTTAAAATAAGTATTAATTACATGTGTAAATATAAATTTAGTGAAGATGTACCAATGAAAAGTGACATTTTTCATAATCGTTATTTTATAAGTTTTTTGAATTTTTTTGAAGAAAATAGGTTAAAATAAGTATTAATAACATGTGTAAATATAAATTTAGTGAAGATGTACCAATGAAAAGTGACATTTGTCATAATCGTTATATTTAAAGTTTTTTGAATTTTTTTGAAGAAAATATGTTAAAATAAGTAGTAAAAACATGTTTAAATAAAAATTTAGTGAAGATTTACCATAGAAAAGTGACAATTATCATAATCATTATTTTATAAGTTTTTGGAATTTTTTTGAAGAAAATATGTTAAAATAAGTATTAAAAACATGTTTAAATAAAAATTTAGTAAAGATGTACCATAGAAAAGTGACAATTGTCATAATCGTTATTTTATAAGTTTTTTGAATTTTTTTGAAGAAAATATGTTAAAATAAGTATTGATAACATGTTTAAATAAAATTTAGTGAAGATGTACCATAGAAAATTGACATTGTCATAATGGTTATTTTTAAAGTTTTTTGAATTTTTTGACGAAAATATGTTAAAATAAGTATTAATAACATGTGTAAATATAAATTTAGTGAAGACAATGAAAAGTGACAATTGTCATAATCGTTATTTTTTAAAATTTTTTGAATTTTTTTGACGAAAATATGTTAAAATAAGTATTAATAACATGTGTAAATATAAATTTAGTGAAGATGTACTAATGAAAAGTGACAATTGTCATATTCGTTATTCTTAAAGTTTTTTGAATTTTTTTGACGAAAATATTTTAAAATAAGTATATATAACATGTTTAAATAAAAATTTATTGAAGATGTACTATAGAAAAGTGACAATTGTCATAATCGTTATTTTTAAAATTTCTTTGATGTAAATGGGTAAAAATATAGATTGTAAAATTAAAATTGCCTGAGTATATGCCATAGAAAAACATATGGTAATAATAGATTCTTCCCCAAAAACAGGAGCAAATTGGCATTTTATTACATTTGTTCATCGGGTCAGAAATTAATATGCAAAATTTATATCATAATATCTAATCCTAAGTTAGAAATTATTATTTTTTTACCAATTTTCACCAGACAATCTTGTTTAAAATTTGGGTTAACTTTTTTTTCTATTTTAAAATCAATATCGATGCAAGTTAACTATTTTCGTCAAAAAAAATCAAAAAACTTTAAAAATAACGATTATGACAATTGTCGCTTATCTAGAGTACATCTTCACCAAATTTCTATTTAAACATGTTATCAATACTTATTTTAACATATTTTCGTCAAAAAAATTCAAAAAACTTTAAAAATAGCGATTATGACAATTGTCAGTTTTCATTGGTACATCTTCACTAAATTTATATTTACACATGTTATTAATACTTATTTTAACATATTTTCGTCAAAAAAATTCAAAAAACTTTAAAAATAGCGATTATGACAATTGTCAGTTTTCATTGGTACATCTTCACTAAATTTATATTTACACATGTTATTAATACTTATTTTAACATATTTTCGTTAAAAAAATTCAAAAAACTTTAAAAATAGCGATTATGACAATTGTCACTTTTCAATGGTACATCTTCACTAAATTTATATTTACACATGTTATTAATACTTATTTTAACCTATTTTCTTCAAAAAAATTTAAAAAACGTATAAAATAACTATTATGACAATTGTCACTTTTATATGGTACATCTTCACTAAATTTTTATTTAAACATGTTTTTAATACTTATTTTAACATATTTTCTTCAAAAAAATTCAAAAAACTTTAAAAATAACGATTATGACAATTGTCAATTTTCTATGGTACATCTTCACTAAATTTTTATTTAAACATGTTATTAATACTTATTTTAACATATTGTCGTCAAAAAACTTTAAAAATAACGATTATGACAATTGTCACTTTTCTTTGGTACATCTTCACTAAATTTATATGTTATTAATACTTATTTTAACCTATTTTCTTCAAAAAAATTCAAAAAACTTATAAAATAACGATTATGACAATTGTCACATTAAAATATTATCCTTAAAAAGATCATATAAAATCATCAAAAAAGTTTCATAAAATCCACCTCATTTAATAAAAAATAGATAATTTTAAAAAAAATTATAAAAGATTTCACCTAAAAGATTGTTTATTTATCTAATAAAATTTACAATATAATTCCTCAATAAAAGATGTATTTATAAAGAAGATTGTGAAAATACTAATAAATTAAAGAATATTACAATTTTACAATATAGCAGCATATTATTTTTTTTATTAAAATAACATCAAATAAATAAATTTATTTTCATTTCAAAATATAATAATATAAATAAAAAATATTAAATCATATCATGTTTATTTGTTGATAATAATAAAATATTTAGATTAAATATAAATAAAATAAATTATTTTACTAAAATAAATAAATAATAATTAATGCTAAGCATCGATGCAGAATTTTGACTAATTTATTTTAGCCAATTTTTAGGCTTAGCCCATTTTTAGGCTTGGCCAATTTTTAGGCTTAGCCGATTTTTAGGCTTAGCCAATTTTTAGGCTTAGCCGATTTTTAGGCTTAGCCTAATTAGGTTTAGCCGATTTTTAGGCTTAGCCTAATTAGGTTTAGCCGATTTTTAGGCTATACCTAATTAGGCTTAGCCGATTTTTCCACCTAAAATCTCGGCTAAGCCTTTTTTAGTCGGCTAAAATTAGCCGATTACGCAACACTAAGCACATCCATTAATATTATACTATAATAGAAAAGTTCTGAACTGTGGGTATCCATCTCAAAATTTAAACATAAATTTTGCATAGGATTATGATGAAATTAGGTAAATCTCGATCTATGCTATACCGAAAATATCAATGGCCATCGTGAGTTTTAAAAAATTTTGCCAGCTGGTCTCCATCCTATAAGCTATGTAAATCATTTCACCAACATAAATTTTTTTAATGCATATTTTTTTAATTTGTTAATTATATATTTTAGAAATCTAAATTTAATTACAGATATATTGGCATATTTTTGAGCCTTTATTGAAAAGGAAACTAAATATAGATTCAAGCTTAATTTTGTAATTTTATAGTCATCATATAGAAAGATAATTATTTAACCAGACATAATCAAAGATTTTTTTGACTAGCATGGAAAGATTTGAATGTATATCCATTTTTTATCTCTGAAAGAACACTCATATTAATGTGATTTGCATTTTTCAAGGATAAATAGCATTCATGTCCCAAAAAGTGGATTCATAATTTATGCTTGTTTTAGAATGTTTATTTATTGTCAAATAACTTGATCTTTATCTTTATCTTTACATTTATTAATCTTTTAATATAATCATAGTTTAGGATATTAATAAATTCTAACCATGCACAATTTTGTTCTATTAAAATTAGAAGCCAACACCTAGATTATTTTTGAAATACAAAGTAAATTAATAAATCACAATGCAAGTTTTTTAAACATATTTTTTTAAGTGAAATAATTCTAAGTTTTGTTATCAGTTTAAACACATTTCTATTTCACTTCTGAGAAATAATGCCAAGTTTAATGTAGGCCCATTTTGTAAAGATTGAAATTCATCTGTTTCTATAAATTTCAGAAAAATTGTAGTTCTTCTACAAGATCCAATTCATAGTTTGAAATTTGAGATAATGTTTTCAATTCTTTTCATAATATTGTTAATTAGATTGTTATTAGCTCCAGATATGTTTTCGAGCATATTGGTTGAGACATTTAATTTTAATGCTTTTATTTGAGTGGATTAATTGTTACTATCATCATTGGAATTGCCAATTAAATTTGATATCAGGGTATTGATCGGTGATATCTAGATCTAGTATATTCAATGTTAGGTCTATTGTATTTATGCATTTATTCTGATGACATTATACAATTACAACAATAAAATATATAAAATATGAAAATTGGTTACAAAAAATTTTAGAGATCTCAAAGGTTAAAGTATTAAAAATGACATTACAGAATTTTAAATAATGATCTTAATATCTATATAAAGTGAATACATTCTATTTTTTTGTTCTTTTTAATATGGCACTCCATTTAACCTCATTCCAAAGTTTAAAATTTTGATAAAAAAGAACGAGTTTTTTCAGATTTTTATAAAATTTTAACAAATGCCGCTAAAACCAATCTATATCTAAAAAATGGGATTCCATTCACTTTCATGGTAAAAATCGATAAAATCACTAAATTACAAAGAATATTTTTTTTATAATATGTAATAAATTGCTCTTTTATTATTTTTGAATGATATTCTTATTGTATTAAGAGACTGGAAAGTTAATTACTTGTTCATACTTTATTTTCCAAAAAAATTCAAACCGCTCAACCTTAGAATTTTTTATAAAATTTAAAATTTTGCATAAATATGATTCTTTATTTATTATTAGAAAAATATTAGAAAAATTTTAAATCATAGAACAATTTATTCATTAACATGTTCCACCCCTGGAAGAACGTACGTGATTTTGCAAAGTCCTTCTTCGTATAATCGTATCTGTTTTTTCACAATGACGCATAAAATCTTATTACACATAAAGTAATAATAAGAGGGAGGGCTCTAAAAATCCTTTCCTAATTGTTAAATTATATATAAATTAAATATTTTATAAAAAGTAACAAAATATTAAAATGAAATGTTTTTAGAAATGACATGATGGCTTCCCGACTTGTAATTATTATAATAAGGAATCCTTGCAATTATTATTTACCAATCATATTATATTGTTTAAAAAATATATTGGTGACTCAGAGCTAAAATCATTTTTAAAATATTTTTATTTTCTTCCATTTTTAAATTAGAAATTAATGAAATAGAACAATTAATTACACATGCTATCCACTGAACATTTATTCTTATGTAGTGTTGTTAAAGGTCAGATTTGGGTCGATTTTTCAAAACGGCTCGATTAAGATTTCAGCTAAAATAATATTATATAAGCATCGAGATTTGACAAATAGATATCCAAGCACTGCCAGCTATGTGCAATTTTAGGCTTACATAATGTTATTTTGTTTATAATCTTAATCGGGCCGTTTTTTAAAATAGACCCGAATCGGGCTTTTTAACAACACTATTCTTATGTTTCCATCGATTTTGCCCATGAAAGCAAAAACTTGGCATTCCAATTTTTATTACAGATATAAATTAGTCTTAGTAACATTAAATTTTATAAAGTTGGAAAAAACTCATTATTTTACAAGGAATTTAAGCTTTAGTATAATTATAAATGGACCACCACATTAAAAAAAATTAAATTATTTTTTTTATAAAAAATTAGAATTTATATCACTTTATTTTGTCTTTAATTGAACAATCATCGATAAGCAAATAAATAAATTTTCTTCGAAAAATATTAGAGCTATGATGCTAACTCTTGAACTGTAATTTAGTTTGTATATATATGTAATTACACCTCGATGGTATGAAATGATGCATTATCTATTAATCCTATCTATATTCATTAAAAAGAGTGGGGAAATATAGAAAAGTTAGCTAGAATGGATTATTCTACCCCATCTACAAAACTCTCCTCAAATCCTGTGACTTCCTCTAAATCTTCCCCACTTCGTTCCCGCTTCTCTAGATTCCACCATTTGCATTACGGCCACAAGCCCAACTCCCTTGATTCTGACACTGGCAAAAATTCAAAAGAAACATTCAAGGAAAACTCTCGCAATGAGGATAGGCTCAACCTGGACAGCACAGAACTTTTGCTCCGAACCTCAGACCCATTTTGGGAAGGGCAAATGGGTGTGAGCCAATTAAACGGCGATCCATCTTCCTCCCACGTCGAACCCATTGGGATCATAAGACAGGAAATGTTTGCATTGCCCCGTGACGACAGCATTATCCGGAATTTCATGAAACTGCACTCTTGTTATGACCTTATTCCCACTAGTGGAAAGATGCTGGTTTTTGATACGGGACTAGCTGTCGGAAAGGCATTTTTAGCGCTTGTTTACAATGGAGTCCGGGCCGCACCATTGTGGGATAGCGCAGCCCAATCCTTTGTTGGAATGCTGACCATCACCGACTTCATCAATGTACTCAGGACCCTTCATGGTGATAATTAATATATATTGTATTTTAAGTTTTTTTTGCAACTTGTATATTTTTTTTCTCACATAATTCAAAAAAGTCATAAATAATATTGATTGCTCTATTAGAAATATTGACTTAACCTCAAGAATTAACTCAGAAAAAATGAGCTCCCGTCTCAAGTCTAAGTCAATTTTATCGGCTTATATTTCAAGGTTGAGCCTATTTTTCAAAACGAGTCTTACATGCGTCTATTAAAAAGCGAATTAAATTATGAAATATTTGCGATATTCATTTTTTATGTGAATCGAATAGCTGTACTATTTGTATGAATTCACTTTGTTTGATACTATGAATCTTCGTAAGAATTGACGAATTGTACTCTTTTCGTACCGATCGAATAATATATTAATCGTAAAACAAAAATAATTCGATTTTTTGAATATTATATTTTAGTAACACAATTAAAAAAAAGACAAAATTTAAAGAGAAAACCTCCTTTTTTCTTAATTGTTACTTATTTTAGAGCTATTCTATACCAAATCGATCATGATTCGGCCGACCCCTTTTAAAATTGTTAAAAATTTCTGGAATTATTTAGATAGGTGAAAAGCCATATATTTTAGCTCGCTAGCACACCTATTTCTCAAGATATAGGGGCTTATTAGTTCAAAAAAGAACCACCTTGGAAACTTTAAAATTTTTTAAATACTTCAATCTCGAAAACTATTTATAGAAAAAAAATATACGTCTATTAAAAAATAAAAAAAATTTATCGATAATTTAAGTTTTCAATATCCGGTTTACCTATATTGCTTTACTTGTGTTTTTGAGCAAATAAGGGAGTTTGTTTTCGAAATTTTTTTTTTTGCTTTTTATTTAGATACCTTTATAAATATACATTGTGAAATTTCTATTAAGGGCTAAATATATTTTGGGAATAAATGAACAATTGTATTTGAATGAAGATTCAGATATTACTAAGTTACTTAAATGTTTTAAATTATTAATTGACTTGTAATAGATCACAAAAGGGCCAATGGTAACATGCGTTTCATTCCAATGAAACCCCCGTACTTCATCTTGAACCATACACCTGAATATATTTTACTTATCATGGCCTTTAAATTAGAAGATCCAGGGCATTGAACACAATCACTAAATAGCAATTTGGTAATGCAGGATTACAAATTATGTTTGGCAATATATCCTTATATGTAATCTTCATTTAAAGTAATTTTAGGCAAACTCATCAGCATTAATTTTCCATCTGTGATATAGAATAAAATTTTAATTGATTTGCACCTAGAATAAATGTTTTTCCATTCTCTAAATCCCGAATGCTATTTGTAGACATACGAATTAAAATATTAAGCGTGTAGACTGGTTGAATTATTTAAAATTAATCTAAACGGCAAGTTGAGAATATTATGATGAAAGAGATCGCTCGATTTGAACATTTTATTTTGTAAAATAATATGATCGGAAAATAATAGGCCTAATAAAATATTTTTTTTAATACAGCTGTTATACAATTTTTCATTCTCTATATTAGCAAGTAGAAAACTAAAATAATGCGAAACTTTATATGGATGATAGTGGGGGAAGGGAGGGGTGCAAAACTAAAATATCACATTTCTTATAGACGTATCATCAATGATTTCATTTTCCTTAAGAATAATATTTTTTCAACCATAAGCCAAAATTAAGTATAGCGACATCTATTTTTTCCATTTTTGGTAGAAACTTATATTTCGGAAGAGCCGACAGTGTCGCCAAGGTTTTGACATCTCATATATATTTATAAAAGATGTCTAAATCAGAGGCAAAAAATATTTTTAATATTCCCTTTATTGCTTAAAAACATAGGTAGAGCAATATGGTAAACCGGAAGTTTAAGATTCTATATCTAGGGAAGTATGCTAGAGAGTAGAGATGTAAAGGTAGGGAAATTTCCCGGGAATATTCCCCGGGAACATTCATATTTTCCCGGGAAATTTCCCGAATTTTCCCTTAATATAAATATATTATTTATTTGCAAAAATTATGATTTATATTTTATAAAATATAATATTTTATTTCAATAATTATGATTTATAATTTAATTTATAAATAATTTTTATTTTCCTCGTGAGTCTTTAAACTTATTTTTTTTATTAGTGCAATCATTGAGTGCAATTTTTCAAATCTATAATTTTAAAAGTACAAGGTAAAATGTTTCACATTATATTCTCATACATAATATTAATGTGATATATTATAGAATTATTAATAATTAATGATATATTTAGATTTGATATATAATAGTGCGCACAAATTGAGCGTTTGCAGTATGTTTGTTAATGTAACGCATCTTTGTTTAGATTGAAAGCAGTATGTTTTTTATTAAAGTTTTTTTTATAATTTCTTAAACAAAAAGAGTTTATTTCTTACCTTAAGGTAAAATAAGGATGTTTAATTATATTTGTTTATTTAGATTTCCTAAGAATTTATGATTCAATCAGGGTTTTCAAATTTTTTTGTGGCCTTGGATGCAAAACATATGTATATAAATGTTTCTTTGTTTATCCTACCTTAATTTATATATTTATAATAATCTATATATTTTAATAAAAATGTGAAATAAATTTTGAATAGCTTGCATATTTATATATTTTATATTTTTTTCAAGACACTAGATATAAAAATAAATAGATTTAGAAATATTGCTAATCAAATTTCAAATTTATGATATAATTTGATTAAATCTATCTAATAATTGCTAAATAAATTTTGAATAGTTGCTTATTTATATATATTTTACAAATAATTTTAATTACATTTTTCAATCTTTAATTATGAAAATGTACACCATAATAAGAGTATTAAATGTCTTATTTAATAAAATAATTTTAATTATATTTTTCAAAAATGGACACTATAATATGGAATAATATAACTTTATTATATGTAAATAAATAGAATTACAAAAAAAAACAAATCAATTTTCATAGATATAATTTCATTAAATAATGAGGTTTGATTTGCAGGTATATCTGTTGAATTTGGAGGCCACAATTCAATTTTCCATTAAAGTATAATACAATGGAGATACTTCATTTTTGAAAAAATATTTGTTTGATTTATATTTTATAGAGAAACATTCTATAATAATGTTAAATTTATAGATAAATATATATTTTACTGGCTTTCAAGGCACCCTTTCCAAAAGAGTCAATATATCCAACAATGCATTTAATTTTAACCCACTTGCCTTCCTTTGGTATAATTTCTTTAGGACTAAAACTATCCTCTTTTATTGGCTCCATGAATTTAATGTAATCATACCATCTGTATGAGAGTTTAGAGCCAGAAGCTCCTGAAACCTTGCACAATTATCTTGGTCTTTAAAGTTTTGCAACTTCTTCAATGGAAATTCCATCCCCAAGCTATTAAAAATATAATTTATCATTATTTATATATATTTACCTTAAACTACTGGTTAATAAACCATCTAATACTAATATAGAATTCTTAGTTTCCAGTAAGGTACAAAATTTTTTAGTAACCTTATCATCCCTTCTAAAATTATAATATGTATCCTAAAATTATATAAATATAAATTCCAAAATTATATAAATAATCATTTCTAAAATTATATAAATATCAATTAATATATTCTAAATAATATAATATCAATTAATGTATGAAATAAATTATACCTACAATTTGTATCCATTTTTAAATTTTAGCGCAAAATTAAAAAAGCATAGAAAAAATCTAACCAGTTCGCTTTTTTATTAATGTTTGCCGTAAAAAAATCCAAGCTGCACTCTACCATATTAGCTTTTAAAACGGAGAGTTGCAACGCTCAATTTGTGCGCACTATAAGTATCATTATATGTTAATCATACTATATAACTGATATAATGATTTATGATGTTTAATATATTTTAATCATACTATATAACTGGTATAATGATTTATTGATGTTTAATTTAAATTAATATGATTGCAATATTTTATAGATGCCTCGGAAATCTTCCAATATCTGGAAACATTTTATTAAAGATAGAGCTAATAACAAGAAAGGATATATATCAATATGCAAATATTGTCAATTAACATATAATTTCCCAAATTCAACAAAGATGTCTCAGCATATCAAAAAATGTCAAGGGTATATTAACAGTTTACAATTTAATGAAGTTGATCGTGATAATAATAATTCTACTGAAGAGGATGTTGTAGTATGTTTACCAGATTCCAGTAATCCTAATAAAATTATAACCCAAAAAAACATAAATAAAACCATTCTAAATACTTTTAAAGAAAATACCAATAATTTTAATGCTGGCACATCTAAAATTAAAAAATTTTTCGACACTATAACCGAACAAAATCAAACGCAACTTGACAGTGCTTTGGCATTGGCTATTTTTATGTCAAATTGCCCTTTTAATTTAGTTGAAAATAAATATTTCATCAATTTTTTAAAATTAATGCGTCCAGCCTATAAAATTCCTTCTAGACATGCAATTAGTAAAACATTACTAGATTTTGAATACATTAAAGTGAAAAATATTATTAACAATAAATTTAATAATTTAAAAGATTTTACTCTCATAAGCGATGGCTGGACAAATATTCGCGGAGAGTCCATTATTAATTTTATAATAATGACTCCAGAACCAATTTTTTTTAAATCCATTGACACAGGTTCCAGAGCTCACACTGGTGAATATATCACATCTGAGTTGATCAAGGTAATAGAAGAAATTGGTTGTCAAAAATTTATCTCACTAGTAACTGATAATGCAAAGAATATGAAAAAGGCCTGGAGTCTTGTTAAGGCAATTATATTGAATGCTTTGGATGTGCCGCACTAGGTTGAATCTGCTTATTAAAGATTTATGCCAAATACCTTTTATTGAAAAGATCATCAAAAAAACCAAGCAAATAATTAAATATATAAAATTTCATGGTATTTTATTAGCAACTTTTAAAGAAAGGCAAATATTGAAAGGATATAAATCTTCCTTAAA